GGCTCCCGTCATCAGCACACAGGCACTCAGGCAGGCAGGCCCGGGGGAGCCCCGGGGGTCCTGCCCACCGATGGTCTTGATCACGGCCTCCTGGAACATGCACTCCTCATGCTCCTTGATCAGCCTGGTGCCCAGGCTGGCGGCCCCGTCGTAGCTCCCGGTCAGCGCGTAGTCGATGCTGAGCCTCAGCTGCCTCAGCAGGGTGTTGAACATCTCCAGCACTGTGGGCCCTGGTGTGGGGGTGGCAAACGACACAGGGGCTGCACCCCTTGCCCCTTCCGGCCAAGCCACGCCCCTGGGTCTCCCCCCCCCCCTGCCCAACGCGCCACCCCCCGCTGGTGCGTGAGTCTCCCCAGGCGGCTCGCAGCCCCCATGCCTTCCGGGAGGAAAGGCCCCCACTTACCAACCGAGCCGGTGGCGGCGATGATGGCCGCTTCGGACAGGACCTCCACGATGCCTGCCCGCACGGTGGCCGCACTGCGGCTGTTGGCATCCAGGTGGCTCAGGAGCTGCTGGATGACCAGGTGCGAGTGCTGCGGCTGTGGGGAGGAAGATGCTGTGTCCCCAAACCTCCTCCGCACCCGCCACCCATCTCCAGGCCCCAAACACGAGGGCCAACTAAAACGATGACCCCTGGTCTGTCAGGGGGTACCCAGACACCCCACTTCCCTCCCCTGGGACCCTGGCCCACTGGGCCCAGCACAGGCAGCGACCACATCCTGGCAAAGTCCGGTTTCCACGTTTCCACAGGTAGTGGCTAGTGATTACCATGTAATGCAGCCCATAAGGTCCGCGGTTTGAAACCACCGGCCGCTTCAAGGGAGAAGTGCAGAGAAAAGGGTTTCTACTCCCATGAAGTGTTGGTCTCAGACACCCCCAGGAGCTGTCTCCCCTGTCGCACAGGGTCACGATGAGTCCGCACAGAATCAATGGCAGTTGATTCCAGCCAACGAACCACTGTTGAAGACCTCCTCCTCCTGGCCACTCCCCACTGACCTCTGGTCTCCCTAGTCCGCGTCACGCGGTTTAACCCAACGCTGCTCAAAAAGCAGCCCTGTGCAAGCGGCTCACACGCTGGGCTGCTACCGGGAAGGCTGGACGTTCGAGTCCACCTTGAGAGAAAGGCCTGTCGATCTACTTCCCCGTAGAGTCAGCCGGTGGAACCCCCACCCGGGTGCGAAGCTCTGCCCTGCCTCACACAGGCCCCACAAGTGGGAGGGGCAGCTGCACAGGGGGGGCGTGGCCTGGAGCCCGTGGGAGATGGGTTTGAGATCCGTCTTCACCAAGGCTGGTGCAGACAGAGAGGAAGTAAGTCATGTGACAGTGGGCGGGGCACGGGAGGGGCACCCCACCCTCTGCCGCTACACGTTGAGGGAGTCTGTGGCTTTGAAGTCTGCAGGGGTTTTCACGGCATTTTTCTGGAGCTTCTTCTTGATCGTATTTTGTCACAGAAACATTGGTCGATGGCTGACCGGAAACAAAGTGGAAGTAGTCCACAGCGTACATGGAAGCAGCACTAGTTTAAACAATTAGGAACCTCGGCCGCGAGGAGGAACCCTGGCCCAGGGGTGCCGCCTACCTGAATGGAGTACATGATGATTTTGAAGCAGCGGATGGCGAACGCCTTGGGTTCCCAGAGAGAATGGTTGTCCAGATGGCTGTGGGGAGACATGGTGAGTGATGTCAGAGAGATGTCTGCGGGTCAACTCGGAGGGACTGTGGGTGCAGGTGAGAGAAGGGGGGTCCTGAGGGCCCCCGGGGCAGTTCCAGCCTCCTGGCTGGAGGGAGGTCAAGAAATTGTCCCGATCTGTGCTGCTGTGGACACAAGGAATGTGCTGACCACCTCCTTCTACCTTAGGTGCCCGCCTACCGACTCCTTTCCCTGGCCACTCCGGTGGCTTCCCTCCAGCTGGGCCAGCCCAGCTGACCAATGTCCCTGACTCAGGCCCTCCCATGCTCCCAGACCACACCGTCACAGCGGTGCCACTGCTGCTGCCTCTGAGGCGCTGAGGACATCCCGCAGGGCTGAGGACCGGGGCAGCGAGGACCACTCACATGAGGACGGGCTTGATGGCGTTTTTGATGTTGCCGAAGGCGGCCCGGCCCAGCAGCTCCCGGAGGCAGCGCTCGGCCAGCTCTGCGGGATTCTCCCTTTCCTTCTCGGGGGCTTGGAGGGGTGAGGGGGACCGGCTGTGGAGACAAAGCGGGAGGGGTCAGGTGTGTGTGTGCCTGGGAGGGAAGCCAGCAGGCCTGGTTTCCCTCAAACAGAAAGGGGGAAGTCTGTCCTGCCTCTGTGGGAAGGGTTCCTGAGCACCGTGGGCCTTGGCGGGCACAGAGCAGGGGCCCCAAGGCACCTGGGGCTCAGGAAGGCAGGGAGAAAGAGGTCAACCAGAGCAGGAGGAAGCAAAGGAAAGTAGGATCTAGGAAGAACAGAGGATGGAAGTAGAGGGAGATAAGATAAGGAAGCCACAACAATGGCTTGACTAGGGTGATCAAGCCCCAAGGTCCCGAATCCCAGACCTAGACACACGGAGGACTCCTAACACCACAGTGGGAGCACAGCGCTGAGCTGTTACTCCAGGACTGGCCACCAGAGGGCACATTTACTTTCCCGTGCCAGCCTGCGGCAGCCCAAGCTCCACAAAGTGGTTCATGCTGGGCCACGTAGGGTCAGCAGCAGCAGTCTCACCTCTATCCCATTTCACAAAGGGGAAGAGCAAGGGACGGGGGCGGACGTGAAGCCCATGTTGAGTGTCCCCCAAATTATAACCCAATGTCTGCACTTCTCCTTTGAGGGGCTGCCGCTGTTGTCTGGCCCAAACCCCACACTTCCAGGGCCTGCAAAGCCACCAGCAGCAAGGGAGGGGCGGAGAGGGAAAATCCTAGTCAGGAGCCACGGAAGGCATGCTAAACCTCACTGGCCTGCCGCTTCCAGAGAGACACAAGTAACTGGACTCGGGGTTCTTTGAGTCCAGCCAGCACGCCTGTGTCCCCTGGGGCCCCACACCATCCCTGTTAGCTCCTGGACCACACCCGAGGTGCCCACGGAGCCTGCTACAGGCTCACACAGGCCAAGATCGCTGGCCCTGCAGTTGGGTTTAACGGAGCAGCCTGGGAGGGCCCGGATGCGTCCATGCCCCGCCTCCCCCGGCCATCTGCTCACCTCTCTGCCTCCTCCACGTGCTGCAGATTGAAAAGCAGCGAGGGGACGATCTTGTCCATGTGCTGCGGGTCCCAGATGTTGGCCTGCAGCTCATCGTTCACCGTCTTCCTCACCACCCCTTGCAGACCCTTGATGCCCGACATTCGGATTCTGTAAGGAGAACCCCCAAACCTGAGCACCCCAGCTTCAGAGGCAAGAAGAGGAGCCCAGCTGGGGGGCTGGGGGCTGGGATGCACCCACCCATCGGCCTCAGAGCAGAAAGGGGACACCTGCTTTTTGCAAGGCGTGTCCTGCTGGCTGGCTGGGCACAGAAACCCCCAGCCTGCTCTGGTCCCGGTGCTCAGTGCCAGGGTACCCAGGAAGCAAGGATCGCGGGCTCCTTGCGCTCACTTACTAACCTGCATGACCAAAAGCCCGCTTCTTCACCACACCGAAGATTCTGCTTCTAGACCTGGCTGCCGGCCATGGCCTCTCTCCCCACCCCAGGTCCCCTTTCCCAAAGTGCACTTTCCTGATCGGGACGGAGTCCCCAGGAAGCAGGTAAGCACGGGCTGATTTGCGCTTCTTTATGAATCAGGAGCCCTGGTGGCATAGCAGTTATAAGTTGGGCTGCTTACTACAAGGTCAGGAGTTTGAAACCACTAGCTGCTCCGAAGGAGGAAGACCGACACCCATCAAATTACCGTCTTGGAAACTCACAGGGGCAGCTCTACCCTGCCCTCTCGGGCCACTGTGAGTCAGCAAGGATCGGATGGTAGTGAGTTTGATTTTGGTTTGGCAGTGAGCAGCATGTGGTGGAAAACAGGTGAGACGTTTCACTGCGGACTAGTAAGTCAGCACAGGTAAGCCCACGTTTACCTTGCTTGCTGGGGACTCTGCCCTGGCTGGGGCCACCTTGACCCCATCCTGCTCTAGGGTGTGGGCTGCCCCAGGCTGCCCTCTTTAACACTGACCTCGCTTTGTTCCGATTAGGGCTCTAGATATAGGAGCTCAAAGCAACCTCTGGGGCTATGACACTAATCTGGGGTGAGGGAGAAGCAGAGAGCATTAGGCTGTCCAGGCACCCAGGCTCTTGGCCGGGGCTAGGCTGGCTAGAACAGGAGGCCACTGCTGCACTCTCCCAGCCCCCACCCCTGAGCTGGCCCAGGGTCAGTGTGGCTCTGCACGAGGCAGTCCTCGCCACTGACCACTTCTCTCTCTCTCTCTCTGCTGTTTAAGCCCATTCTCTTTATTTCCTGATTCTGAAGCAGAGAGCTGAGAAAGCACACCCCTGCGATCACCACATGGGCCCGGCAGGGCAGCGGCTAAGAGCCCAGGCTGCTCACGGAGCAGTGGGCCAGTCAAACCCAGCAGCTGCTCTGCAGCAGGGAGAGGTGGTGGTGTGCTTCTCTGTAAAGACACAGCCTTTGGCCCAACGGAGTCCTCGAAGACAGAGCTCTACATTCGACTTGGATGAGTCGTGACTGGGGCCTTAGTCGTGACTGGGGCCTTGTGAGTAGCTGTCTGTCTGAGGTCCAGCTACTGGTTTCTCACCACCCAGAGCAGAGCAGGGCGCAGACTGAAGGAAGTGAGCCCCGAGGGCTGGTGGGCCACGTGAACTAGAGCCTCCCCTCTTGGGAGACCAGAAGAGAGTGATGGTGCCTGGCTCCCACAACAGCCTGCTCTGGATCGGGACCACAGTGAAAGATCCCGGACAGAGTGGGAGAAAACAATGTATACAACATAATTCTGAAAAATCATAAAGTAGACCAGACGTGCCGGTCTGATAGAGACTAGTGGAATCCCCAAGGCTGTGGTCTTTAGACACCTGTCAAACTGGAACCAGCCCCACCTTTAAAGGAATCACCTTTAAAAGGGTTCACCAGGGCGCTACTCTGGTCTCCTTGGACCCTGGTGCTTTCCGTCCCGCCTAGGCAGGCGAAAGCTGGACAGTGAAAAAGGAAGAAAAAAGAACGGAGACCTTCGGACGGCGGTGCTCACAGAGGGCTGACTGTGGGGGCAGACTCTCCGGAGAAATACCATCAGAATGTGTCTTTGAAGAGCAGACAGACTGTGGCTCCCTGACTTAGGGAAGCCAGAAAAAGACACCAGGTCTGGAGGGGGCCAAATGAGACAGACGGACTGTCGTGCTGCTGAAGTAGTGGTTGTACATGTAGCCTAGGACCAGGCAGGTGCCACGCATGGAAGCCAATGGAGAGCAACAAGCACTAACGTGCCTAGGACGCAGACAGGATGCACGGAGCAAAGGCTGAGCATCAGCAGGCGGCGGGGCGCTCTGGGCATAAGGCGTGCAGGGAGGGCATGAGGGAAAGGAGGGAGGAGGGAGACTGGTGCAGGAGAGCCCTCTCCTCTCAGGGAGGGAGATAGGACGTGTCCGTCAGCCTCAGCAAGCTCCTGATGAGGTCAGAGCCAGTGCGGGCGAGGGCTGCTTTTGTGCCGCCTCCTCCCCCTGCTACCGACCAACTCCCAGTGTGAGTGTGAGTGTGGATGTGTGCACATGGGAGAGAGGGATGGGCACGCAAATGTGAGTGAAAGTACAAATGTGCAAGTGTGTGAAGGTGAGCATGTGTGAATGTGTGTGAGCTTGTGAGTGTAAGCATGTGTATGACCTGAGTGTGGAAACGGGATAGAGTATGAATGTGTGGTGTGCATGTGTGAGAATGAGTGTGTGCAAATGTGAGTGAGTGCGAGTGTGCAAGTGTGAAGGTGAGCACGTATGAAGGTATGTGTGAGCTTGCAAGTGTCAGCACATGTGTGATGTATGTATATGAGTGAGCATGAATGTGTGGCGTGTGTGCATGTGTATGAGAATGTGTGTGCAAGGTGAGAGTATGAATGTGAGAGGGTGTGAGTGAGCAAGCGTGAGCTTGTGTGTGGAAGCATGAGTGTGACATGAGTATGTACATGGGAGAGTATGTGTATTAGCATGAGAAGCGTCGCTGCCCTTCCTCTCCTGATAGCCTGGCGCTGTGTGAGTGGCCAGCACCTGTTACAGCCACACCTGGTCACCTTCTTGCACTTTCTGCAGCACCTGCTTCTGGAAGTGCCCCGCATGTTCTGGCCCCTTCGGTCTCTGCCGAGGCATTCTCGAGTGAGATGGTCACTCAGGACCCAGTGCTGGGTCCTTCTTCCCTTGGCTCCCACTGGCCTGCTCATAGGATGGGGAAGTCAGGCCCAGAAGGCCCATGACTGGTTGGAGGGAGGGGACAGTGGGGATGGCTTGGGAGCAGTGGGCATTGGTCAGCAGTGGGATGGAAAAATCACCTGGACACCACTCACTTCCTGCTTCTCCCACCCAGCTCATCAGCCGTGGAGGACAAGCTTGGGGTAAGGAGGCCCCCAGGGTCCCCACGTAGGCTGACCCCCCGAGGAGCTCATGTAATGTAGGCAGGAGCTCTTATCACAGTGCAGGACCAACCAAATGACAAGCTGTCCACCATTGGCCGCTGAAGGCCGACAGCTCAATCCCAGCAGTGTCTGTCTTCCCTAACCCCTCTGGCAGCTTGGGTTGGCAAAATCAGCATAGCCCCTGGCCCCTACCCTCCTTGTCCTTTGCCCTCTGGTTCCACCTGGCCTCCCCGCATGGGTAACTCGCTCTTGGTAGGCAGATTCGTTTGCAGTGCTGGCTACCAGGCACCTGTTCGCTGATTGATCAGTCAGACGGGCTCAGCGTGGGTAGCTCTGCAGATGTACAGCGGCACGTGTGCAGGTAGGTGTCTTTGTGGTTTTATTTAAGGGAGTTGATTTCTTTGTCAACGAGTGTATTCCTGTGAGCTGGCTCTCATCAATTGGTTGCGTGTGTGTGTGTGTGTGTGTGTGAAAGTGGACTTTGTAACTCAAGAACTCTATCTGGAAGCATTCATTTATTCAGCTGCCCAGCAAGTCTTTAATGAGTGCCTGCAGTCTCCGGGCAGCGGCTTAGCACTCGGGAACCTCTGTCAACCAGCCAAAGATGCCCGCCCTTCTTGTGGGGGAGAGGCAGACAATGAGGATGAACCCCACCGAGGGGGTGAAGGCTCTGAGTGAGGGAGAAGGAGGACAAGTGGGTGGCAAGGGGGCACCTGACCAACAGACGGAAGGAGGGGAGACCCGCAGGAGGAAGGACTCCAGGCGCAGAGGCAGGCCAAGCAAACCGTGGGGGACAGGAAACGAGGGCAGCGAGGCAGGGGGATTCATTGACAGGAGGAATTTGCCTTGTGTTACTCCTCCGGGTGCACCT